CCCCCCCCCACACATACACACAAACACACACCTTCCACCTACCCGAATGGTATCACTACTCCCATTACTATTCCTACAGGGTTTATCTGTCCTGGATTCTGTGTGTTGAGATCTCTTATCTGTACCAGTGTACATGCTCCAGTCTAGCCAGATTTGTAAGGTAGAATTGAGGTCATGGTAGTGGTGGGGAAGAAGCATTAAAGAATTAGAGGAATGTTGTGTGTTTCTTTGGTGCTTGCTATACTGAACCCTGGCTGTCTGGTCCCTTTCTTGTGACTCTTCTGTGAGGGGATGTCCTATTGTCTACAGATGGACTTTGGGTCTCCACTCTGACCCCCCTTGTTTGCACTGATATGATTGATTGGGGTTTTCTGATGCCTGATACCTGATCCCATCGACACGTCATGATTGCACAGGCTGGTGTGCTTCTTCCATGTGGGCTCTGTTGCTAGATGGCTGCTTGTTTAACTTCAAGTCTTTAAGACCCCAGATGCTATATCTTTTGATAGCTGGGTACCATCAGCTCTCTTCACCACCTTTGTTTATGCACCCGTTTTGCCTTCAGCTAAAGTGTTGGGGAGCATCACAGAATGCCAGGTTATTAGAACAAAGTGTTTTTATATTGAGGGAGGGCTTCAATAGAGGCCCAATGTCCATCTGCTGCCTTAATACTTAACATATAAATATATGTGCATAGGCTTATATCCCAATCATTATATATTAATATATTTACATATATGTGCTTATATTTATAAATGTCTTTTGCCTCCTAGTTCTTTCCTCTCTGTCCTTCAAAATCCTTTCTAGTCCTTGGGTGTTGTTGGCTGAAGACAGCACAGACGGCTGACTTGTAGATGCAGATGTCCTCAGAGATCACAGGGTCATTGCACCAACAAACATTACTCAATCACCTTTTGTTTTGTTCCCCCTTTCTGTTTTCCATGTGGACTGGCTTCTCCAATTTCTGGAAAATGATATTATTAGTAATAAGATTGAATGGTCAAAACCTATTCTATATCTAAAGGCTTCAAATTACAAGAAGCCCTTCCAAGGAGCCTTAAAAAACCCCATGATTTTGAAGCTCAATCTCATGGGCAACTAGAAATATTCCTCATCTTACATATTACATTTATTCCTATTCATGCATTTTATGACACTTTAATTTTCTGCAGCCAGAGGAAGCTCCTGGACTCTACCACCTCCTGTGATTACCTAGTAGAAGAGAGGCATTTGCTTCCAGGCAGGAGGATTCAGAATCAAACAAGAGATAAATGTTTACTCTCAAGGAAAATTTCCAGATTGAGACCAGAAGTTTATTTGAGGATTTGATTATGCTACTCGTATATTTTCTTCCTTCTGAATAATTAGACTTTCTTTTAAGTTCATTTATGTCTACTTACTTCTACTCAACTCACTTATCAAGTGACTATGGAAACATCATGGCTCTTGTACCAAATCCTTCCCAATCTAATAATGATGGTCATTATCACTTAGTCTTGCTTTTTAAGGAGCAAAACTGCTTCTTATTGGACTTGTTTTCCATGTTCTTAATCACTTTTGCCGTTTCTCTCAAACCCTTTTACCATGTCTGTATATCCTTTGGAACCCTGGTGGTGTAGTAGTTATGCATTGGACTGTAACCCACAAGGTTAACAGTTCAAGACCACCAGCCGCTCCTTGAGAGATAGAGAAAGACTGGGATTCCTATTCCCAGAACAGTTACAGTCTTGGAAACTCAAAGGGGTAGTTCTGCTGTGTCCTGTAGGGTTGACATGAGTCAGCATAGACTCCATGGCAATGAGTTTGGTTTGGTTTTTGGTACATTCTTCTGAAAAGTATGGTGACTAAAATTCGACTCGATGCTTTTCAACTTAAATATACTGCGGTTTGGTATATAAATATAAATGCTCTCTAAAATTGGTGAAAATTAAGTGAATTCAATTATTTTAAATTATTCAAAGCACAGATGAAGCATGTACTTAAATATACTTTCATTATTTTAATAAGCCATTGGTACAAAATATAAAAATCATTGACCATATGTTCGAGATATCTTGACTCTTATCTATTAAGAGTTGATTTAAAGAACAGATATGTTCTAAGGGGCAAGTAAGGACTTTTGGCAGTAAATGTCGTCTGGATTGATTAGCATTTTCTGCAGGCTGCAGGCTGCCCACCGAGAAGAGCTGCTCTGTATTTGTAAGTGTGAGACACAGCGTTGAAGAAAGACCATGTCTCCGGCCCCGGTGTCAAACTCCTCCCAATGACGGAGTGTCACTATACTGGCCTAGCCCTGGAAAGTCATGCTGCACTTGTGTTCTTCTAGTGGGCCTTTGTGCACTTCCTACTTGTTTGAAGCTTGTAGTCAGTGTGATAGTAGGCTTTTGCTGTTGTTGTTGTTATTGCTATGCATGCTTCCCCATGCCACCTTCTCTTTATTTGAAATTGACATATGATGTAAGTGGCAGTTACATAATCTCCTGTCAACTTGAGTGAAGGGGTGGAGTGTAGCCTGTCAATCAGGTCATAGCCAATCATGCCTTTGAGTGGGGTATGGCCTTCTCCTGAAGATTCTGGGCGCTCCTGTCTTCCTCCCTGGAGGCAGGACACACACTCTCTCTGTTTTTGTCTTCCTGCAGGCAAGCCACATGGAGCTATGCTGATGGCAGCCAGAACCCTGGAGCTGGAGGAGCCAGGTGGAGACCCCTGCCAGTGCTGAGATTCTTCCACCGCCACTGGATCCACAAGACTTTCCACTCACTGGCCTGTGATCTTCCTGCATTCAGCATCATTGCATGTGTCGTGTGAGTCTGAAGAGGAATTTATAGACTGGTAAATTACATATGGGCTACTATCAGACTCATGGACTTCATATGGACTTGGCTGGGGTGTTTTCTTAATATATAATTACTCTTTGATATAAAATTCTCTCTTACACATATATGAGTGTCAATGAATTTGTTTCTCTAGTCTACCCAGACTAACACAGGTTATTATTACATATCTCCCTATATTGACAGGGTTGTTTTTCATCAATATTAATATAACTAAAATTATATATACATGACTTAGACTATTCCAAACCCCACCAAGTTTTGCATCTTTAGGAAATTTGAAAAGCCTAGTATTGATATTTGCATCCAAGAAATCAGGACTGATCAATGTAGGAGTCATAAGGCAGATCTAAAATATTGGGATAAGACCCTACATAAAGTGCAGTGAGATGAAATGGAAGAGTAAGCTTTTTTCCAAAGTGTATTCTACAACTCTTGAACTATCATGAAACAACAACAACCAAAAAACCAAAACAGTAATGATGACTTAGAAGGGAATTTGTGATATTTTCTTAGAGTTTCATATTTCAAGGCCATCAGATCCAGCTGTTTAATTGTGAATGAAGTGCTGTGGGGAAGAGATGTGCAAAAGAAAAGTCGACGGTGTCACCCATGTTTACCTGCCTCCATAGAGAGCAGTAGAGGGAGAGAGAGATTGCGTGAGCAAATGCGCTGTCAGGGGAAATATGAAGATGAGGGTCTGAACCCATCGTGCACTCTGATGTATGCTTTTTCCAAATAGAATCCTACAACACTCATTGTAGAGATGACCGGGTCATTTAGTTGACAGGTAATAAGATGTATTTATTTCACAGTTGCACATATCCTTATAGTTAGGTTGATATCATGTTTGGATAAAGGTTCAAGAGAGAAAGTATTTCCTTTCCAACCTTTTCCTTTTTGGGTCATAAACACAATGGGGCGTATAGTTACATTCCACCTCTTTTAATCCCCATTCCCATTACAAACATTTTACTTTTTAAAACTCAGGTGACCTAATCCATAGAAACGGAATCGTGCTAAGTATACTCATGGGGAAAAGAGTAAGAGTTTGTGGTGTCTGTGGTTAAGAACAGCTCTTTGGCACTTGGTCTGTTCCATTTTCTTGGCTTGCTGAAAAACAAATGATCTTCTAGAGACATGGCTTACTAGAAAGTGGGGCTGTGGTAAAAGTGTGCACCTATTAGAAAAAGGAGCTAAGGAATTGAAGATGGAGTGGTTATTTAAAATGATTGAGTCTGAACCCTTTACCTTGGTATGCTCACAAAGCAACAGTTTTGGAGTTGTGGCTGAGCTTGCCCAAAGAGTAGGGGAAGGTGCACACTTGTGTTTCTTATGTTAAGGGAGAGTGGGTGGACTTGGAGAAGATGCCTGGTCTGCATTCTAAAAGCAGGTTCTGCAGCATGTCCAATGTTACTCAGTTCAGAATTCAGGGCTGACACCCTCCATGTGGCTCATGCAACAATGTGCCACTCGAAGGAGACCAGCTAGACCATTGGGGTCTGATCAAGCCACTTGCTTCTGGGCAGGGCAGCTGGTTACCTAACAAGGGTCATTCCTGGCCATTCACTGGAGTACAGGGCTAGATGTTCCTTTCAGAAGGATGCCCTGAGTGTTGCTAAGGGTAGGTGTAGTAGAAATGACAGGGGACTCTGTGAACTTATCAATTCAATGCCTTTAGCACCTCACAGTATATGAATAAAGGCCGCTGGAACATGGGCTTGATTCTGCAAGTCTTCATGGCAACATCTGGCGTGAGACTCCTAAAACAGGCAAGTAAAACTTTTTCCCATTTCCATCCCTGATGTGAGGGAAGGGCTTTGGCAGTGTACTATTTGTTATACACATGCCAGTATGTGTACAATAGTAAAATGATAAGCTATCCAGTAGGGGAATAAGCTGCCAGGATCCCTCCAGTCTGAGAAAGCCTTTCTATCTTGGAAGCAAGGGGTTTACACCTGAGACTACTGAATCGCTACATTTTTCTATAATCACTTGCTTCTGAATTCTCAGTGGTAGGACTTAATGCAATTTGGGGACAATTCTGCTGCGGTGTTCATTAATACTCATGTTGATGTGAAGTAAGTGCTGTGACTTCCAGCGAATCAATGCAGGCCCACATTTCATTTGAATAATAAAAAAGCCCAAACAACTAGGAGATGTTACTCTATAAACAGGTAACTGGGCATTTGATAAGCACAACAGAAATTTTGTACATACCATGTATTATTCACTTTGAAACAACCCTTGGCACTTGAGGGTAACCTAATACCCACAATGGCCTCCTCCCCATTTTTAGATCTAAGAGATCAATGCAGACTGCAGCCCCTGGGCAACACAAATGGCCAAGTACCCAATGGCTACATGCAAGGTTGGCATTTCGGACCCCAGCAGAGGTGCCTCAGAAGAAAGCCTTCGTCTTTCTGCTTGCAAACCCTGTGTAGTAGAGTCTTTCTTGCGCACACGGCTCACTGGGAGTTGGACGTGACTCCGCAGCAAGTACCAGCAACGACAGAAACAAGACACAGAGCCACTGACTGAAAGTCTGCTCTGAGTCGGCCTGTCGTCTCAGGCTTGTGGGAATGTCCCCCAGCAAGTTACAAGAGGAGTAGACTGGTGTTTCTATGCAAAGACTCTGTGGAACGCTAGGAGATCTGCACAACTTAGAATAATGGTTTGGGGTCCACTGTTTCCAGAGACATACTCAAAAATAATTTTTCTTTTTTAGTCACTTGGAGCACCAGTGGGTTAGAGTACATATTTGGATCAGAATACCATTTACACCATTATCTCATTCTGTTGAAAACCAGCAGCATGCAAAACATTTCAGATTGGACTCTCAAAAATACATGTAGTATGCCCAGTAAAATACATTGGCCAGCATAAAGACCAAAGGAAACAGTAATTTGGAATATCGATCCACATTACTGGGGTTTTGAATTGTAAAATAATCCATGATCCTGCCCATTTTATCTCTGAAGACGAACTTGAACTTGTCACTTGCTTTCATTGTCAGGTCACTGTAGTCGACTTTGTCACTGGAGATTTCAATGCTGGCAAAGCTGATCTTCCGTTTAAAGCTCGAAATGGAGCTGTTGATGATGTTAGAAATATTGACTTCATCCACTTCCTTTGCTGTCCCCTAGTTGAGAGACAATGCAGTTAGCTTGAAGGACTTGACGCAATGAAATAAATTAGTGGATAATGAGCTAATAAAAGGTTTAGAGACCTAAGGATTAAATAATTAGGTTTAATAGAGAATGACATTTGGTGCCTTGGAAACTGGCTAGTAAGTCAGGTGTGGCAATTCTGTTATCCTGTTTGTAGGCACCTATCTCTAGGTCAAGGGCAGTGGTGGCTCAGTAGGAGAATGCTTACCTTTCACACTGGAGACCCAGGTTCAATTCCTAACCAATGCACCGCATATTCTGCGATCTCCTGGCTTGTTGCTATGATGCTAAATAGGTTTCAGCAGAGCTTCCAGACTAAAAAGAGCCAAACCCATTGCCTTCAAGTGGATTATGACTCATAGTGACCCTATCGGACAGAGTAGAACAACCCCACGGGGTTTCCAAGGCTGTACTTCTTCCCCAGAGCTGACTGTCACATCTTGCTCCCAAGGAACACCTGCATTGCCAGCCTTTCACTTAGCAGCTGAGCACTTAACCACTGTCTTCCCAGAGCTCCGTCTAAAAATTAGCCACTAAAAAGCCCCAGGGATAGCAGCAGTTCAAGCCTCAGCCAATCCTGGGAATAAGGCTCTAAGACTGTGCATGGTTTTCTTGTGCACGGGGTTGCTGTGAGTTAGGGCTGACTGACAGTAGCTAACAATAACAGCATCTCTAGGTCATTAACACATAAATTACAAAGAATAACCACTGCCCACGTTAGACATGCAGAACAATGTAAGGGCTAAGTGCTCAGACTCTGAAGAGAGCAGACCCAGATCCTGCTCACATCCTGCCTCTCACTATTGTAAACGTTTAGATACATCACTCCTTTCAAGACTCGGTTTCCTTGCCTGAAAAAAAAATGTTGATGATTAATATCTCACTCATGAGGTTGAGGGGAAGATTAAGTGTTATATATTATGTAAAGCATTTAGTAGGTGTTGGATGAATTCCATTCTGTTCCAGGGAGGATGATAGGGTTATTGATGATGACAGCTAACAGAAATTAGAAATGTTTTAATAACTTTGTCACCCAAATTGAAATGGTGGTGCTCCTTGAGATTTCAGGAAGTTGACATTCTCCCAGCCCACTTGTGGGATGCCTGGTGAGTCGGAGAGAATCGTTTCGATCCCTGCGTAGGCTACTGGCCTATGGAGTCTTGGATGAGTCTCCTCCTCTTTCTGAGTGGTAGATCCCTCAACAGTAAAATTGGGATAATGGTATTATCAATTTAATAGGGATGCTGGTGGACTAAATGGGATATTGATAAGGTGTTTAGGACACAGTAAGTGCTCCCTGATGCAGCTATTACTGCACACAGCTCAATAAGGTTTCCTTGGTGTTTCAGTGCAGGATACCCAACCTCTTTGGGCCAATCAAGCAAATTCCTATATTTTCTTTTGTACTTGATCATTGTGCTTTCAAGGAATCCCCTAAGGAGTAAGACAATCCATGTTCTTCTTTGGCTAGTACATGACAACCATTTACATTTGATATGACTGTATCAAAATTTATTCACAATAGATAATCACAAGGGAAAAATTCCTGGGTCTTTGTGATACTCTGAATCCTCCTAGACCCTCTGAGCTTCTAGCACTTTGCTTATGGTGGGTACCTCTTCTATATTGGATCCCTATGATTTTTTTTTTGGCTTGTTACTATGAGCTTTAGTGTGTCAATGTCCCCAAAATTGGGTTTCTAAAGAGTTCCAGTAATTGGGAAGGATGGGCCTATTGCCCACTACAAGCAGATGACAGGCTTTGGAATCAACCAGATTGAGGTTCAAATCCTAACTCTGTGTCTTACTATCTGTGACATTGGGAGTAAGTCACTTACCACTCTTATTTCTCAGATTCCAAAGCTACACACTGGATTTAACAACCTTCCTGAGTTTTTATGACCATCTAAAATGATATAATATTTGCAAAGGGCTAGTTACTGTGCATTGAGGGATGCAGTATATGCTCACTGAGTAATTACTACTATACCTATTATGATTGCTGGATCAGAGTGTTCCATTGCTAAACCAAATAATCATGAAGCAACAACAAGAAATAAACAGACAAAAACAAACAAACAAACCATACCCAACCCACTGGTGTCAAGCCAATAGAGACTCTATAGGACAGAGTGGAAATGTCCCATAGATAGGGTTTCCAAGATGGTAAAGCATGACAGCTTTGTTTGAAACACTGATTTTACGGTTGGCAGACCAATGCTTAAAGCATTGTTCCACCAAACCCCAAACTGAGTAGATTCTGACTCATAGTAAGACCATTTGGACTTGTGAGATTGTAAATCTTTACAGAAACCCATAGCCCCCTCTTTCTCCAGAGCAGTGAATTGTGGGATTGCTTGTGCTTAGTGGTATAGCTGTTAGTTTTTCTCAATTAACAGAAAAATATACTAATCAAGAAATTTGTTGCAATGTAACTTTTTCATATGTATTTAGTAAACCATTACTTGTAAGATGTAAGAATATAAAAATGCAACCAAATCTCACTCGCTGCCTGTGAGTTATCAACTCATGGAGACCCCATAGGATAAGGTAGAACTGCCCCCGGGGGTTCTACAGAAGTAGAAAGCCTCATCTTTCTCCCATGGCGTGACAGGTAGTTTTCAATGGCTGGCCTTGTGTTTAACAGCCCATCATGTAAACAGCTGGTTATGTTGGATTTGCTTTTGGTTTGTTTTTTGGTGTGTGTGTGTTTTTTCTTTTGGGTGTACGGTTGTGATTTTCTGTTGGCTACAGATAGTATAGTGATTTTCTGCTGGAAAATTAAGCATATTATCACCTTATTGTATTTGATGAAAATAGTGGGCTCTTTCAAGGGATGGGAGGACTCCAGATGGCCCCTCCAGTACACACAAAGTTGAGAATAATCACTGGAAGAAAGCCAATCAATGGACAGGACCAGGTCCAGCTCATGTCTACAGCCCAGCACAAGGTACAGGGGATGGAGTCCATATCTGCCCACTGCATTCAGTCGATTCTGTTGCATAGCTACCTACAGGACAAAGTAGAACTGCCCCAGAGAGTTTCTGAGGCTGTAAACCTTCACAGAAGCACACAGCTTCATCATCCTCTGTGAATTCTACGGGGCCCTCAGATCCTTACTTTGTCTTTGGCCGCCATTTGCTGTAAGGAGCTGTAGTGGGCAACAGCATATTCCAGTAAGGCCCCAAACACGAAGCTGAAGCAGATCCCCAGGTATACATCGATGGCCTTTATGAAGCAGTTAGTGTTGGGAAGAGAAGTGCGGGACCCGATCATCAGCGTGGTCATTGATAACACGGTGGTCACGCCTAGGAAAACAAGCCGGGGATGTCCCCTATTAGTGGCCAATGTATGCTCTGTGTAGGAGTTGGCAGGACAAGACTCAGTTGTATCACATTTTGAGAGAGCTGCGACTTTCTGGAGCTGGCTTCATTTGCCCAATGTTTACAGATCTGGGGAGCTGAGGGATGTGGTTCTCTAGATGTCTCCCCCTTGCGGGATGGTGGGGCCTGGGGTGTATGCAGTCTACAAAAGCCCCGACAGTCAACCATCTCCCCACATGTCTCCCTTTTGTGTCACTGTAAAATATAAATTAAAAAATGGATGAATCCTGAATCAATCTCTTGCTCTCTGTTTGTTTCTCTCTCTGCGTCTCTGTTTCTTTTTCTATCTCGGTCTCTTTGCCCTCTCTTTTCTTCTCTTTCTTCTTTCTTCCCTCCCTCCTTCCCTTTTCCTCTTCTCCTCCCATCCCAGAATCTCTCAAGAAACTACTTCTGGAATCACCCCATGAATATCAATGAAAATCATAGACCGTGTTAGGAGAAAAAGAGCAGAGAACAGTGCTTAGACACCTCCCGCTGGAGTGGCTTACCAATGCAGGTTCTCGCAGGAACGGAGTCAAGGGAGATCCAAAACGAAACCCAGGATAACACCACCAGGAACGTGGAGGGAACATAGGTTTCCAAAATGAAATACAGGACATTCCTCCGGAGCTCAAATTGCAAGACCAAGCGCGTATAATTTCCTGATGGGGTGAACAAGATCTGGGAAATCATGTCTGCTCACATGGAAAGTGGTTTGCTCATGGGCCGTTTAACTCAGCTACATCCACATTATGCCCGCTGCAAAACTTAATTAATTGTCTATTTCAGTTATCAAGAACTGCCAAATGACTTCAGGAAAAAGAATTACTGTTGCATACAATGGTTTTGTGAAGGTTTAAATGTCCCCTACCCCCACCTCTTGTTTATGATCTTCTTCTGGTGTCTCCATCAGAATACACCTACATGTACCATTCTCAACACTGTTTTCCTGGTTGTCTGCCTCTCTAGACTGGGAGCCCCTTGGAGGCAGGTCCTGGTCTGCCTCTCTAGACCGTGAGCCCCTTGGAGGCAGGTCCTGGTCTGCCTCTCTAGACTGTGAGCCCCTTGGAGGCAGGTCCTGGTCTGCCTCTCTAGACCGTGAGCCCCTTG